TTTTCTTTTTGAAAATCCATTTATAGCCTAGTGGTTTGCTTCCTGGAGGAAGATCCACTAGCTCTCATGTATGATTTTACGGTATGTAATCTATTTCACTTTTAATGGCCTCTTTCCATTGAGATCCTTCTGAAGAGTTCACAACTTCTTGAAAGTTTCAAGGTTCACTTTCTAGCATATAAGTCAGAAAATTAGGACCATAAGATTTTTCTGTCATGTTCCTTTTGCTACGTCTTGGTTCAACCTCAATCTCTTCTTCTAATTTTTGATCTTGACTATTTCAAACCATAGTCTCATGTATCCGTTTAGAAGATCTTGCTTCCTCTTTGGATTTGTACGGAAATACATGTTCAAAGAATGTAGCATTTCTTGATTCCATTATCGTGTTTTTGTGTATGTATGGGATTTTAGATTCATACACAAGAAATCAATAAGCACTACAATCAGGTGCATAGCCAATGAAGATGCAATCTACAGTTTTCGGGCTTATCTTTACCATTTTAGGTGTTGGAACGACCACTTTAGCAAGACACCCCCACACTCGTAAGTATTTATTGGAAGACTTTCTTCCTTTCCATTATTCATAAGAGGTTTTTTCCATTTTCTTTCGGGGCACCTTATTTAAAAGGTAATTTGCCAATAACACAGCTTCTCCCCATATGTTCTGAGGTAACTCAGAACTTACTAACATTGCATTCATCATTTCTTTTAAGGTACTTCCTTTCAGCAACACCATTTTGTTGCGGTGAATAAGGTGCGGTGGTTTCATATATGATTCTATGTCGTACACAGAATTTAGCAAATGGTGCTTTGTACTTACTACATCGATCACTTCTCAGCACCTTAATTTTCTTATTGAGTTGATTTTCAACTTCATTCTTATAGAGAATAAATTTCTCTATAGTTTCGTCTTTACTTTTAAGCAGATACACATAACAGTATTTTGTGCTATTGTCAACAAAAGTAATGAAGTACTTGTTGCCACCTCTTATTTGTACAAGTTTCAAATTACATACATCGCTGTGAATTAAATCAAGTGGTCATGTATTCCGTTCAATTTAAACATACCATCGGAAACATAACATTTTTCGACAAACATTTCACTTTTTGACAAAATAACTTTGTCTGAATTAAATACAATACGAAAACCATGCTTATTCAAAAGCGACCCGGATACTAGGTTCTTACGAATTTTCGGCACATACAACACATTGTTAAGAGTCAGTTCTTTTCCCGAAGTTATCTTCAAAACCACCTTTCTTTGACCCTTGATTTTAGAAGTTGCTGAATTTCTCATGAACAACTTCTCTCCGTTATCAATTGCTTCGAAAGTAACAAACAGCTCTTTATCAGAGCACACATGTCCCATAGCACCGGTGTCAATCCACCACTCTTTTGGGTTAGAACTAGGGCTGGAAAAAACTCTCGAACCGAATCGAACCAGAACTGAGCGGTTCTTCATAAGTTAAATACCAGAACGGGTATCTGAATTGAGAATTGACGGGTTTGGTTCAGTTCTAGACCCATAACCGAATAAAAACCGAATTTAAATAATTTTTAAAATTTTTATATTGAATTAATTAATTTTTTAAAATTGTTTCTAAACAAATTAGCAAATTAACTAATTTAGTGATTAATGTTCTAACTCCCAAACTAAGTCCATGCCCAGCTAGCCCAATCCTAAATTCAATTTTTTGATTTAATTTTTTGGTCCTATTATTAATTTCATTGTTAGCCCAAGATCTAGGTCTTTTTAAGTTTTTATCATTCTCTTTCCGATTTCGCACTTTTATTCGGTAACCACTAAGTTAATGACCTCAAATCATTTGATAAATTGAAAACCTACCTCTACATGCCCAAATCGAAATCCCCGACTATCGAGTCCGACTTCCCCTCTCAATGCCCATCGAAGCCGTGACCTCCAACCACGACCACCAATCGTCGACTATTAGAAATCTATTAAAAAATTTGATTATGGTAAAATAGAACAGAACAGAATCGAACGGAACCGAACCCGAACGGTTCCATAATTATATTTGGACCCGACGACTACATTTATTAAATACCCGAAAATTTTGGTTAGGTTCTCTTCATAACCGAACCGAACCATGTCCAGCTCTAGTTAGAACCCACTCTATTCACTTCAGAAATGACAGTTACAAGATTTGTTTTTGACACATCATGTGCAATATAATCAACCACATTTGTTTCTTTCTTCTTATTTTTCTTTGACAATCTGCACTCCGAAAACTTGTGGCCTACTTTGTCACAATTGAAGCATTTTCCTCGAAATTTCTTCTTAGAAATGCGTCCTTTCGGTTCCAGCTTAGTACCTTTGCTACTAGATATCCTATACTTGTTCTTGAAGGTTTTAGAACTTTGACTGTGCTCAACAACATTAGCTTTAGCCACAATAGGATTGGACACTTTCTTTTCTGAACTTCTGTTGTCTTTTTCAATTTGAAGTCTAACAATCAGTTCTTCGACGTTCATTTCCTTTCACTTGTGTTTAAGATAATTCTTGAAATCTTTCCATGTAGGTGGCAATTTTTCAATAATTGCAGCCACTTGGAAAGTTTCATTCACAATCATCCATTCGGCATGAATCTCGTGAAGAATCACTTGGAGTGCTTACACTTGACTGATTATTGTTTTGGAGTCCACATCTTATAATCTAAGAATCGGACAACAATGAATTTCTTGGTCTCGGCATCCTCAGTATTATATTTCCGACCCAATGACTCCCACAAATCCTTACCAGTTTTCAAAGTATTATACACGTTGTATAGTGAATCTGCTAAGCTTTTCATAAAGTAATTTCGACATAGAAAGGCTGAATGTTTCCATGCATCTAATGCGCTAACAGCTTGAACATTCTCCTCACCCTCTTTGAGTTTCGAAGCAGATTTAGTTAAGAACCTTTTAAAATTCAAGGTGTTCAAGTAAAACAGTATTTTCTGTTGCCACCTTTTGAAATTCAATCCATTGAATTTCTTCGATTTTTCTCCATGATTTACCGGAACAGTTATGCCATGGCCAGTTGGTTGAGCCACAATCTGGTTTATGGCATAGCTTGGCAATTTAGCCACAACAGTATTTGGCTCTTGAGGCACAACAAAACTTGGCCCTTGAGCTACAGTCGAACCCATAACCTGGTTTTCAGCAGCCACTGTTTGGGTTATGTCCATATGGGTTGATTAGGTTGCCATTTCTAAAAATCAAATATATGCAGTTTACTGTTCAGACAATAACTTACATAATAATAACTAAGATATAGCACATTGAATAATTTGTTAATCGCAACAAATAAAATAAGTTATATAAAACACAATAAAATAGAACAAATAATCTAAATAACAGAGAATAAAAATTCAATTGAACTTTAAAACCGAGGCCTATGTGAACACAGTTTCCTTAAAACAAATTTGCCCTCTCACCGTAGGTGCTTGAGATTTAATTTGAGCGCCTGTTTCTCAAGATACAATGGTAAACCAGCAGAGTCCGAGTACTACAGATTCTACTCCGAAAAACTGACTTAGTATTTAAACAATATCACCACCAAGACCTTTGACAGACAGTAAATTAAGTATACAGACAAAGATTTCTCATGTGTTTTGGAATTCTTCATGTCTGAAACAGTGGAAAAACGAGGCTTTATATAGAGTTAATAGGCCTTCCCAAGGAGCCAATTTTTGATCAATTCGGTCCGACATTCGTGTACGCAGGTCGCGCCCGCATACAAGTTCAAGTTCCGAAACCTATTTCGGTCCGTAATTTGCACCCCCCTGCGTGCGCACGTGGAGAGAGCCTCTATGCTACACATAATTACACACTTCCAAAGTGTAGCCATATGTAAAGTAGTTCTTGCTTTCATAGACTTCATATGTGGGATAAACTCAAATTTAGTTTTCCCTCCAACATAAACCATATTCCAATAGTCCACTTTAAACTCCAATTTCTCATTCGGAAAATTTTATTTGTACATAATTTTTTATCTAATGTTTTACCGAATTGACAAGAGGGGGGGTGCCCGCCACTTGTCAATTCGGTAAAACATTAGATAAAAAATTAGGTACGTGTAGCATAATTCTTTCTCATTCACCCGAGCTTCATTTTTGACAAGTACATGATTTCGATGTTCTCGCGGAGGAGAACACAAATCAATATTTATCTTCCAAAATAAGCAAATGGGTCTCGCACTACTCGAAGCCTTCGTAAACTCATTGTCGGGTTCTATCGTAGTGGAGGTTGCTGTGAGGAGATCCTTGTCGTCGAGACTTGAATAATATAACATAGGAAGTTGACGACCTTCATGCTACAATTTCGAGACCAGACCTTCGAAAGACTCTCTTTGAAGAATGGGGAAAACCGCTTTAGAGTAGCTTTAAGACTAAGCAAGGAAGAACTATTAGAGATAGATTCTTGGGTAGTGAGTGCACTCAATAGGGCTGTTGACCCGTGGCCAACTCGAAGGGGCTGAAGTTCGACGCTGCTTTCCGACCTCTTGCATTGCACGAAAACGAAAAAAAAAATCCTCAAAATTTATGCCAAAGCCAGTCATTTCCTCGTCTTTTCCAACAAATACAAGGGACTCGGACATTCAAGAATCATTAACTAACAGATATTTTCGTTTTGAATTTAGGATACACAAGTCTCCTTCCAAGTAATAATATCCATTCCATTAGTTATACCTTCTCTAAACGTCTATGAACCACAAGGTATGCCAATGAAAAGAAATTGATAAGAAATATTGCTAAATTCTTTGAAGCATTCTCCATATCGACTAAAATTTACTGACTAATGAACTTTTACTTGTCAGGACTAAAAAATGTTAGTGACCGGGATGGATTAACAGTTGATTCCTGGAAAAAAATTCCTTCTGATGATCACTTTGTCTTCAATACTTTATATCCAGTATTCATGTCGACTTAGTGCTTTCCTTTATGAAAACTAGTTGTTACTTTTATCTTTTCTTGTGTAGTGACTGACGGCAATTTATATTATAGTCTACCTGTTAAAGTTGTTACCGTCAAACCATTGACACTGTCATTGTTGCTGGCGCACGATACAGGACCAGTCGACCTGAAAGACCTTACACTAACGAAACCAGGTTCTCCAGGTTCAACTAATATTTCACGCTCATCCTGCAGCATGGAAACCACTTCAGACATTGTTGGCCTTTCTTCAGCCCGATGCTGGACGCACAACAGGCCAACTTGGATGCATCGAGAAACTTCAGTCTCATTAGACGACCCTTCTAAAACTAGATCCATCAGTTCCAAAGCACGTCCCTCGTTCCACAATGTCCATGCCTGAATAAATTCAATATCATGTCCATGTCCAGCTTAAACATTTTCCCGGGGGCAAGCACGGAAGTGAAAAAAAACTTATAAAGTAAATGCATTACTTACATGTCCTAGAAGATTATGCTCATGATCAGGATGATGGAAACCCCAGTTCTTTTGGCCGCTTATAATCTCTATTGCCAAAACACCAAAGCTGTACACATCTGACTTCATTGAGTAGTGGCCTTTAATCACATACTCTGGTGACATGTAACCACTGCAGCCATGTTAAGGGAAACACTTGAAAGTAGAACTATATTTTTTTGATCAAAATTTTTGTGTTATTGAAAAAAGAATCTTTTGTGTGTTAGCTTTACTTACTGTGTTCCGATCACTCTCTTAGTAGTTTCCTCTCTCTCATTTTCGAAAATCCTTGCCAGACCAAAGTCAGATATTTTGGGGTTCATCTCGTTATCTAGCAAAACATTGCTTGCCTTCAGATCCCGGTGGATTATCCTCAATATGGATTCATAATGAAGATAGTTTAATCCCTTGGCAACTCCCTTAAGAATGCCAAAGCGCTTTTCCCAAGGCAGTAATATCTTCCTAGCTTCATCTGCAAATGATATCACACCAAATCAATAATAACTGATTTCCTTCGGTTGTATGGTATGATGTTATGAAAAATTCGTAGAATGTAAGACGGATGTACCAAATATAACTTGGTCAAGGCTCTTATTAGGCATGTACTCATAGACTAGCATTTTTTCTTCTCCTTGAATGCAGCATCCCAAAAGCTTAATTAGGTTTCGGTGCTGAAGTTGTGCAATCAAAGTGACTTCATTCTTAAATTCTTGGAGCCCTTGATACGAATTCTGTGACAGCTTCTTTACCGCAATGTTCTGTCCATCTAGTAATTGACCCTAAACAGGATGATGTGGAACATTTTCAGCATCAGCATATAGAAAAAAAATTATTTTCTGACAACTGATATTTACCTGATAAACAGGACCAAAACCTCCTAGTCCAATTTTATTGTCTGGGGAGAAATTATTGGTAGCAGCAGAAATTGCGTTTATATTGAACAATGCAACATCTTGATCATTCTCCTCACCTCCTGCAGGACCTATGTAAAGTATGTTTTCTAATTGAGCTGACCAAAGGAAATAAATTGGAAAAGAGAGAATTGATAGGTTTTAATGCATTAGAACATTTTATGGAAAGGCACTAGCATAAAAACGAACATATTAATTCAAGAAATTTTTGTGATTCAGATTTTCGTCTTTATGGGAAATGACTAGAAAATAAGTCTCTATTACCATAGATGCACCTTGTGCAAGCACTTGACAAAGAAATCCTACCTCTAGAATGAAGTTTGAAATGATATTAGTATGGTTTAACATAAGACATTTTACCTTGCCTCTTGGCCTCCTTAAAATGGCATATACGCCAGCCAACAACAAACCAAAAACTAATCCAGAAAATTGCTGATATAAGAATGCTGGCAGTCGTGGTCGCATCTTTCTTCTTCTTAGCATGGGCAATAGACTCTGTCAAAGCAAGTGACAGGAGAACTTAGTCAAGGTTTCCTTTGTCTTGTGAAGGTAAAAAATAAAATTTAGATTTCATCACGCAAGTTAAAAAATTCGAGAGTAATTCAAAAGGCATGATGAAAGTTTTTCAAAGTTTTTATGTATTATTTTTCAACATCCTTATTGAAGATCTAATACATGAATGAGTTAGCTTGGGGATTCAACAATAATTACCAGTTGAATCAAAAACTTCCATACCAGTGGATTCTACATAAAAGAAAAGAAAAAGGAAGAAAATACAAGCAAATGACATCATTTACAGAAGCAAATATACCTGAATGCATAATTAGCTTCTTTGAAATTTCTATGAGGCAGACTAATCGAATTATAAATGCAAATTGAATGACTAAAATTCATTGTTCCATACATATTATACCTAAAGTCCAGGTAATGATACAAGTATTAGTGATGAATGCTTATTGATGAACGCATTTTTGGAGGCATCAAACTTAAGTTGGTTGCATTTCATCTTTCTCTGCAATTTGCAGACAATATGTAAGACAATTAAGATTCATGAAGAAATTTCATCACAACAAATGTATAATCCGCATACACGTGAAAAAGTGCACGTGTTCAATAGATGCATTTCATGCATATGGTGTTTAAGCAAATGATAATTTTGCACTCACATTCAGTTATAACGCCGCAATTTTGAAGATAAGGACAATACATGTCAATAATAATTAACAAGACTTTGTACCTAATTCGCCACGTGCCATACGTATATATATCTCATCTCCTCCATGAATAGAATATCGAATATCAAGCAAGTCGCCCAACCATACCACACATTCGCTGCCATTTCCATATATGTTTATATTAGTGTAAGCCATGCAAGAACATTCCTTCAAACAATTATCTTCACATTCCTGAGAGCTCAAATTCCTCCAGACAGTGAAATTATCAGGCAATTTCTGTCCTTCGTACTTCACGAAACCATCACCATTACTACAATTTAGAGCATAGTGCCGTCTACAGCCATCACCACAGTCCATCCCGCACCAGTCATTGGGAGAATTGGCCACAAATCCCTTAAGACACTGGCAACCTGGATCATCAGCATAGCAAATTCCATAAGGGCCACACGTTCCGTAGTTGTCACAGATATCCTTATTCAAGGTCACCAATGGAACCCAAGCCTCGGCATTTTTTTTCCATTTCAGGAACTGTATGGTGCCGATTGGATTCACCACCAGTCTGAGTAAAATTGCGTCATCCAACATTTCGAATGTAAAATAAACTTCATCAGAACTGAATTTATGCACAGGCTTAAACACGGGATTATCCGTAATAGCATCAGCACCGCTATATCTTTGCCCATCCCAAGGACCCCACCTGGACACTTGTACCTTATTCTTTTCCAGTAGCAATTGCGGTGACTGAGGTGATTCCAAGCTTAACTCAAACACACCATTAGACGGATTCTCATACGATATCCAGGATGTCATAACACGTCTTAAACCGGCTCTCAAATCCCAACCTAACTTCATTCCTGGTAACAATGTATCAGAAGGAAAATCAAAACTTTGCCAAACAAACTCTCCATCTGACAGTTTGTCACCATCTTTAATAACAAGATTGCCGGAATCCAGGAGCACCAGTTCTGGCCTGGAAGCAGGCTTTGCAACCCTACAAACCCAAATCACAGTTCTCTCATCATTCCGAAGCAAAAGATCTCCAACAGAGTTTAAAACAAGTTTAATCCTAGATCCACGCAATGGCTTCATCCTGTTACCAACCCATACTATTGTTAACTGTTTGATTTCCCTGTACCATATGCCCAAGTACCACATTCTATGGTTGTGATCATTTTTCGAAGAAACATTGAAAAATCCTAGCTGAAATCTCTGATTGGCAGAGACTAAAGTCTGTCCATTCTTGAAAACCTGGTAAGGAGTTAAAGTGTCTGAACACTCGATCCCAATGTCAGAAACATACACAAAACAGATTATAAGTAACCAAAAAAGAGCAGCCATCGACACGGGTTTTCTTCCGTTCGGTGATGTGAGTAACCGATGATGATTTTGTCGATGTTGATTTGTGTTCCTCTGGGACTTTTTTATTCTTGGAGATGAGTATTAGGACAGTACTCTAATTAAACAGAGCGTTTCAAGAAAAAAGGAGTCAATTTTTCTAAACAAGTCCGCGTCTCAATTTTCACGCCCTGCACGAATTGGATAATTATTTAATCTCACAGAATCACCTGGAGAGAATTTACGGGGTATTTAATGTATAAGATGCTATTAACCAATAGGTTTAGCTCATGTTTGGATTGGATAATTTTTTTCTTTTTAGAAAGTCCCTATTTGACTATCATTATTTCAAAATTATTTAATTTTCACTCATTTTCAACTACACATTTACACAATAAAATATTTTTCACGTAAACTTAAAACATTTCTCTGCGTTTTAGTCACACAACCTAAAAAAAATCGCTATTCAAAACTCAATTTTCTCAGAATGATAGCCATCAAACATGAGCTAAATTTAAAAGTTGATAAAAATTATAAGTCCTATAAAATGTGCAATTGAGAATAAAATTGGAGAAAACGAGTTTTAAAAAATGAAAGCCGAAAATGGGCTTATAATCTTTACCTGTTAAAGCTGTTAGGAAAAAGCACAAAATACGATAATAGATTTAGAATAAAATAGGAGAAAACGAGTTTTAAAAAATGAAAGCCGAAAATGGGCTTATAATCTTTACCTGTTAAAACTGTCAGGAAAAAGCACAAAATAGGATAATAGATTTAGAATAAAATTGGAGAAAATGAGTTTTAAAAAATGAAAGCCAAAAATGGGCTTATAATCTTTACCTGTTAAAGCTGTTAGGAAAAAGCACAAAATACGATAATAGCTTTAGTAAATGAAATTAACAATTACAGAGAAAAAAAATAGTTACTCATATAAATAATCATAAAAATAAATGCTACGTGGCAAGCGGACGAGCCCACAGGTGGCATAGCAACAGGCGACCCTGTATATGCCGAAGCCATCCCAATTCGAACGCTGTTCATTCAATCCCCGTTGGCAGAGGCGTCAACTTACCCCTGCGAGGTGGTAAGTCAGCCAACAGCAGACTTAATGAAATGATTGACAAGATAATACCCTGCCGTGCCGTCTCTACACGCCTACTCAGTCAAATCCTATGTCAGAGGAAAAGATAAGGGAATCTATACATTAATGGCTTGATTCATTGATTGACTCTAATAAGGACCATTGGATCTTTTATCATCGAATGGGCCCCGCTGACTTAACATGAGATATAAAAAACCTACACGCCATATGTTAGAGGGGACAATGCAAATTTACACAGAAAAAGTAAACCTTGATTCTCTCTACTACACCCGAAAGCCGACCTCTTTTTTATGCATCATACAACCAAAAATAACAACCTATAAAATGCTGTGAACCATTCCTTATATTGATTCATCAACAGATTAGTAGTTGGATTCGAGCATATTGCGATTCGATCTACAAGGACTTGAGTTTCTAATTTTCTGTTGGCCACGTCATAGGACCATTTTTTGGGTTCAAAAGATTGGCGCCGTCTGTAGGAATATTTGATACCATAACCACGCACATCCTAGTGGTAAAAGCTGTGGGTGGAAAGCCTTGAAAAAAGGCTTTGGTTCTTGAACAAAGAACCACCTTGAGAAAGTGATCCAGGAAGCTCAATGAGTTCGAGTCATCAGGGAACACATGGAGAGAATATTCGGCAGGATGCCTCTGAAGAAGAGGTTCTCCGCACGAATGTGAACATTCGTCGCCCCCACCATCGCCATGGGAGGGATGGCACGACTGCACGCTTGGCGCGAGAGATTGGAGAAATGGCCGCAAACATGAGAAATATGACCCAGTAAAATGTTGCCATGCAGCAACTACTAATGCAGATGCAACAACAAGCTGGATCCCAAATGCCCAACATAGGACTTTTCGCCGGAGGGTGAAGCAAATGACACAGCAGCGTATCCACAAATGTATGGGATGAATGACCCAATGGAAAGGGAAGTGGGAGTTGACACATCCACTAACTATGTCACGAGCCACCATGGGAATGTCCCCATGGAGGAGCACCTTCCCCCAGAATACCCTCAGGAGCTCGAGCCTGAAAGGTCTGTTAGCGTCTTTGACAGGATTGGACCCATGAGGCCTAGGAATAGGCCCCAACAACCTCTCCCTGCTCAAGGAGAACGAGAACAGCGTCAGTAGTATGCCACCACCGCCTAGAAATAGGCGGGAAATGAGGGACGCAGCAAACGCGAGGAATCAGGCGGGAACGTCACACCCCGTTATCAAGCCGAAGGGGACGATTCCGACGGCCCTTGCAGATCGTTCGAACTGGATGATGATGATGATGATAGTTTGCCATTCTCCCAAAAACTGAGAAGAGCCCCAGTCCGCAGCCACTTTGTGCCACCAAAAATACCTAAATATGAAGGGAGAGGCGATCCAGCAAAACACCTCAACAGCTACAAGACTCAAATGTCTCTACGAGGAGCTTCGCCCGCACTAAAATGCTGAACTTTTCACCTCACGCTAATAGGGGCTGCTAAAATTTGGTACAGCCGTATTCCGGCTGGTAGTATCCGAAATTGGCGAGATCTAAAGAAGGCCTTTCTAAACCAGTACTTGTCAAACAAAGAGGGAGAGACCCATATCCAGAGGCTGCAAGACATGAAGCAGCAATCATGGGAAACTCTAAAGAGTTATCTGGCTTACTTTACGGACGAAATGGCCTACTGCGAGTAGGTCACTGATAGAGAAGCCCTTTCCGTATTAAGAGGAGGCCTCAACATGAATACCCTGTTTTGGAGAGATGTACGGAACAAGAATCCCACCACCTACAATGTCTTGGTGGAAACGATGAGGAGCGAAATCGTTAAGGAGGAATTGATTTACCATCGAAACCGAACCTCCATGGGGCTCCCATTACCTCAGAGGCAGGGAAGGGGACCTATGTCCCGTCTGGAAGACCAGCAATGGACCCAAGCAGGATACACCATAACTCCCACCTCGGGACAAGTGCTAGCCACTTCTACGTTAAACGTCGTGCCCTCTCTGGCATATGAAGAGGTTGGACCTGATACCTACAGGCAACCGAACCTATCCAGAGGAAGAGGCAGAGGTAGAGGAAGATGAAGAGAGCTTAGGGATTGGCCATATTGTACTACCGAACATATGGCCACAGCACTGAAAATTGCTCATCCAGGCCATACCATGGAGAGCTAGCCTGAGCCCCCTCTGAGTGTAGAAATAACCATCGTAGGCAAACAACTGCCCTTTCGACTAGGCAAGAACCTCTTTACATCGAGGAAATGAGATATCGCCAGAGTAAGTCCCCACGGAGGGAGCACAATGACAGGAATAGAACAAGAGATCGAAGACCTAGAAGGGATCCCCCATCCAATATCGACAATGCACCCATCAAGGAGATCGACACCATAATTGGCGGGTCCACATATATTAGGAAGTTCCGAAAATGCTTTGAGGAACTATGCGAAGAAAGAAAAAGATCCCCCGTTAACAAATTACCTCATAAACAGCGCCAGTAGAAGTGTTGGGAGCAGCCCGCCAATCATCTTCTCCCAAGAGGACGCCACAGGGGTTCACTACTCCCACTACGATGCGCTAGTGGTGCGAGCTGTTGTGGCAATGAATGGTCTAAAACGCATGCTAGTTGATGATGGGAGCTTTGTTAACATCCTCTTCGGGACCTCTTTCGATAAGATGACTGTTGACTATGAGCTTGCCCCCATGGCCACCCCTCTATATGAATTTACGGGAGATAGTATCGTCCTAGAGGAAGGATCACAATGGCAGTAGAAATGGGAGAGTACCCATTCAGAGCCCAATGTTTCATGAAATTCTTGATAGTGGATCACCAATCCGCCTACCATGGAGTTCTGGGGTGACCCGCCTTGAAAGAATTGGGGGCAGTAACATCTATACATCATCTATGCATGAAGTTTCCTACCAAAGAAGGGATCGCAACGGTACGAGGCGACCAATGAGTTCGAGGGAGTGCTACCTTAGCTCTTTAAGAAAATTTGAGCCCAGAAACATGAACATGATCCTATTAGATACTGAGATGACTGATACGCCTGAAGAAGGCATAACCCCTGAGCAAGGGGGAGATGTCAACATGATAGATGCCCCTGAAGAAGGGGTCATCGAAGTGGATTTGGACCCACATGTTACAGAGTCTAACTCGCATATGACCCCAGTGGAAGAACTTGAGTCTTTTCCCGTAATCCCAAGCGACCCCACGAGGTCATTACAGATAGGTAAAGGCCTCGACCTAGAAACGAAGCGCAAGATCAAAAACTTTTTGCTTAACAACTTGGACGTCTTCGCCTGGAAACATGAAGACATGGTGGGAATTGATCCAAAATCAGTTGCCACCAGCTCAACGTAGACCCCAAATTTAATCCTCACAGGCAAAAGAGGAGATCTTAAATTCAAAGCGGTATGTCGCACTAAAAGAAGAAGTTCAGAGGCTCATATCAAAGGGTTCATCAGGGAGGCAACGTACCCAAAATGGATATCGAACCCAATGCTTGTGAAAAAGAATAATAGCAAATGGAGGGTCTGCATAGACTTTTCCAACCTCAACCAAGCATGTTTAAAAGATAGCTTTCCGCTCCCAAGGATAGATCAATTGGTCGATTCCACTGCTGGTCACGAGCTGTTGAGTTTCATGGATGCCTACTCGGGATATAACCAGATCCCGTTGATGAGGAGCATACCTCTTTCAACACTGATCGAGGTTTATATTTCTAAAAGGTCCTTTGGTTTGAAGAACGCCAGTGCAACTTACCAGTGATTAGTAAACAAGATGTTCTCCGACCTACTGGGAAAAACGATGTAGGTATACGTTAACAACATGCTGGTGAAAAGTCTCAAGTCAATCGATCATGTTGATTATTGACAAGCCACCTTTGACATCTTGATGAAGTACTGCATGAAGTTGAACCTA